TATTTTTCAAAATAAAAATTATTTTTTAAATCCCCATTCATTTTAGGGTAAATTTGATTTCTTGACCATTTTTCGTACGACTAACGGTTTTCGATGAAAAAAATATCTAGGAAGTTATTAAAGTTATAATAAAAAACCGATTTTATTCTTAAAACTTTAACACCCTGTAACTCAAAAATTAAGAGGTTTAGGTCATAGGTTTATTTGAACTTTTTTTCTTAAAATCAACTAAGGATTCACATCCTTAAGGTTCAGCATCTTATTCTGAAACACCCTGTATATTTATTTCCTTATATATCTTCAGGTAGAGGTCCTAAAAGGTCTTAAAATGGTGTTTGAAAAGCAGACGAAGCAGTTGTGGTATTAGGCCTGGAATGTTTAAACCTTTAACAATGATCACAACGCTTTACAAACTTGCTAACATCAGCATGTAAACTTGTCCAAAAATAGTATTTCTTTATGTTATTATACATTATGTTAATTCCTGTATGACCTCCGCTTAGTAGAACTTGTACATCTTTTATAATTGAAATTTTTACACTAACCATTTTTAATTCTGTGGGATTCCTACCTATAATATTTATTAATTTCGTATTTTAATTTTAAAAAAAATGTACTTCTGGTATACTAAATTTTATGTAAATATCTTTAAATTTCTCAACGATTCATTAAATGCCAACGTCGATCGAGAATTCTTAATCTTTAAAACTTTTTCTTTCTCCGAAAAAATTATATGGCTTGTACATTAATCATATTAATTACTTTGTATTAAATTGTTGAATTCCAAATTTGAAATGCAATAGGCTTCAAAAGAATTTTTCGGTGGTTTTAACAGTTCCACCGCTCCAGGATGATCATTTCTTTAAGTTTTTCAGATGAGATTTCATTTCTAGATTGTGCATCTGCTACTACATTTTTATTACATTTTACATATACAGACTGTATAGAATCAAGTAAGTAAGGCTGGAGACAAGGATGACAAAGTATATTCTGATCAGAGAAAAAGAAACAAACTTTAATTGGGCGTGGTTTAAACCAAGCCATTCGTAATTACGAACCATAGTTGCCAGGTTGTTTTAAATCAGAAGAGAACGAGTATAATTATTTAATAAATAGTTCAATTTTATTTGTTTGAAACTTTAAAAATAACAAAAAAAATAATAATATGTCAAAAATAATTTGATTTAGTTATGTTTCTTACTTTTAATATTAAAAAATAAGAAAAACAATAATAGCATATGGCAACAGCGCGGCATGCAGCCAGATACAAGGGCATGCAGTTTGATCTACTACACAGCTGTGTTTGTTCAGTAGCTCCGACGCTGTAGTAGGGAAATGTGTATAGTTTTTAAGAAATGCATTTTCGCCATTAACTGGAATTTAATGGATTTTAAACAATACTTAGTTTTTATTTGCAGAAATGCATTAAAACAAAACAAACGAATTCGATAAAAATAAAACCTATAAATTCTCAAACAAAAATAATTCTAAAATAACGAAAATAACTTTTTTTCTAAATTAAATACGACAATGATACGGCAAGCAAACAAATTCAATCCCTACCACAGTGGGCGGGGTTTGGCACTTGTTTTATTTAAGTGTATCTATTCGTTTAAATACACACTGTATAAAGTCAAAATCATACTTTTCTAACAATAATCGAAATTTGGTAAGTCTACTTGAGGGACTACTTATTCCAAAAAGATAGACAAGAGGCCTATGATCAGTATAAACTATAAGCATGTGTTCCTGTTTTAGTTTCAGAAAAATGTGAGTACTGTAAAACTGGCGGCTTTATTAATGCTTGCTTTATGGCTTCGAAAGCTTGTTGACATTCTGATGTCCATTGAAAAGGTATACCCTTACAGGCTAAATAATTAAGTGCAGAAACTATATGTGCAATTTTTTTTTCTATAAAGCACAAAGCTCTGGACTTTCTTTTCGTCTTTGGGTACAGGGTAGCTCTGCATAGCATGAACTTTTCAGGAGTAACAACTTCAGCTGAAATGACGTGTCCTAAATACAAAAGTTCTTTTTTCAAGAAGTCGCATTTTTCGGGATTTAGTTTAAGATTTACATCGCGTAGTCTTTGAAGGACTTTAATCAGATTTGTGTTTTTAAATTATTCCCAAAAATAAATAAGTAAACAAAACAAGAAGAATAGGTTAACCCCAACGACCTGGTCTGTGGTTAACCCTGATAAAGCAATCGACATCGATCTAAAATAGGAACTAGGACTTAACTTAAGCACCATTGACAGTCTAGTCATTTAAAACTGCTCTTGGTCAGTTACAAATGCTGTACAAGGCCTATTCTTCTTTTCTAGTACAATTTGATAATATCCTTGTGACAAATCCAAATGTGAAAAGTATACCGCTCCAAACAAAGAGTCTAAAATTTCAATTATACACGGTAACGGAAATTTATCATCCTGTATACTTGAATTTAAGGTTTTTCTATAATCTATTACCATTCTCCACATTTTATATCGTTGCTCATCTCCTTTCTTAGGCACTAATAAAATTGGTGCTGACTAGGGAGAACTGGCTTCTTCACTATTTTTTGGCTGTAGGATTTTCTCAATTTGTTTGGTAATTTCAGTTTTTTGCGAATACGGTAACATCGGTTGTAGATGATTTTTTTGTTTGGAAATTTTTTTCTTAGTTAACCCTTCTTCCTTTAAGTGAAAAATATCCAAATATTTGGAGCAAATATTTTGCAAAGAATATTTTTCAGATTTTGCTAGATGATCTAGTTTTAAGGCATTTAATAATTTATCTATCCTATTTACGGTCTTGGGAACTGGGCTATACCGGCAAATATAAAAATAGTATAATGGCACAATTTTTGAAACCAAAATTTGTATGCGTACATCTTGATTGCGTGTATTGAGAATTCGTACCGGAATACGATTAGAAATTGTTTTTACTAAAATTCTTGCAATTCAAAACTCTCAAACTTCATCTTGCAATACAAAACATTCTTAATTTGTATTGATATTAAAATATTTAATTATTTCATGTTTAGCCGAAATACAAGTGTACTTGTATTTCGATTGAATAGGTGTAAATATTTCTCAACAATCAATGATAAACAAAATTTCTCCTAGTCGAATTTAGCAAAGTGTCGCACTTAAAAATCTGTTCCTATTAAACCTTGTATACTGTCTTTAAAACTGTTGATCAGCAAAAACTCGTGAAACACTTTTGCATTATTTATTACAAAACATAAATTTGCGGAATCCTGCGAATATATTTCTCCAAAAAAACCGTTAATTTTTATTTTCTTAAAAAAAATTTTTTTTTGAAAAATTTTGAAAATCAGACTTATTGAAGCTCCCTTAATAAGAAAAAATTTTAAATTTTTATTTTTGTATTTAACGTAAATAGAATTAAGTCCATTAAACACAAATGGGTCATTATTTTTATTCGATTTACACTATTGTTGGTGTTATCACTCTCCTTTACTCATATAAAATCACCTGTGATTTGAATTATTATTATTATTACCCCCGGAACGTCCTCTAGAACCATACTCTCCTCGCAATAAATAATAATAATAATAAGTACGAACCTCTCACTCTAAAATAATTATTATTTTGATGACCTCGAAAAAAATGTCCCCCAAAGTTATCGTTGTTATAACCAACATTGTTTCTACCCCTATTACTTCGAGGATTGTTACTTTGTCCGCGCCTATCATTATAACGGTGCTTTTGCGGTGAGCAATTGCCTCTTCTGAATATGGATCAGTGGAAACCTAGTAAAATACCTTCACTAGCTTTTACATATTTTTCTATCTGCTCTATATATTCCCTAACTACTTTACATAACTTAGGATTGTTTAGTTTTTCATTAAATTTTTCTCCAATTCTATGTATAATTTTTAAATTTAGGTAGCTTACGTAGATTATAATTTTTCTTTTCTTTCTGCGTTATCTTTTGCTAAATTCCTTTTGAATACTTTGACTTTATTCAGTAAATATATAACTTTAGTCAGCACCGACATTCCATATTCAATATATTATAATTTAACCATACTTTTATTGTAACCTAAAACCTAAAAATTTTAAATATTGATCTTACTTTTAGACTGTTTCTCGGCTTCTCCAGATTTCTTTCCATATTCTCTTTACCATAGCTTTTTTGATGTCTATATACATACACCAGCCAAGGAAAATTGCCAACAACCCAATTATAACAATACTGACGATATCCTAAATATAGCCAAAACCATGAGCTATGGTGATTTCTTATTTGCTCTGCGTTTTATCTATTGCTTTTTATTTAGTTTGGTTTAGTTTAGGCAAGATCGCCATGTAATAAAAGGAGATTGACTTATTTTAAATAAAACAACCTTCTTTAGTAAAAAAATCAAACCTAAGTATATTTTAATAATTTATAGTACAATACACCCCTGTAAAAAATGCGTATTGCTAAATATTCTATAAACTAATACCTTTCATTTGTTTACATTTATCATTTGGATTACATTAATTTTATATATACAGAGTGATTTATTATAATCTTCTTTTTACTTGTTTATTCTTACATTACACCGATGTTACGTCGAGCTCGTGTGACGTCATACTGTTAAGCTTGGTTCTAACAGAAATAACGAAACATAATTTAATTTAACTTTAAAAAATATTTTAATTTAATTTACTTGCGTTCATACAATAAGTAACGTAATTTAATTTAACAAAAATAGTGTTTAAAATTATAAACAATATTTTAAAGACAGTGCTTACCTCATATATCTAAAACTTAAAGTTTTAGATATATAGCTTCCCTTGGCAATTAAAGTCGAAATATTTTTATTGAAATTAAAACCGTTTAAACAAAATAGGTTAGATTTAATGTCAACAATGTGCGCATTGATTAATAATTGTTTGAATTAACCTTGAAATAAAGTAATTTAGGCGCTTATTCCCTTTCTTGATGTTCATAAACGTATATAGACCAAAAACATATTACAGTTAACTTAACGATTTATTTTAGAATCCAATCATCGTAGTGAACCGGGCTCAGGTTATTGGGAGCTACAACTTGATAGAGACCTCGTGGATACTATATCCGCTATCTACCCGGAGTGGTTTAAGACCATGGCCGAGGGTAATAGGAAGATGCCCGAAAAAAAAAGCAAAGGAGTGTCTTCTTCTCTTCTTAGGGAATCGCCACCAAAGGCAGTAATAGATACTTCGCCTATACATATGGACCAAAATAAGGAATGTAAGTAAGAAATTAATCCCAAATATCTAAAATTTTTTACTAGTTAATAACATAAGCAAATACTCATAAATACAGGATTGGTAGTACGGCACTGCAGTAAAAACTAGTACCGCGATGTTATATTTTTCCCTGAACATGAAAAAATATCATAATATTTACAATTAAATTTGCTGGACGGAGTCTAAATGACATAGCGTTAGCTTTAATGCGCCCTGTAGTGCAAAGTCTTTAGTGAATACTATTTAATTATTGTTACGTGGCAATTGCTAAGTTGTCAATATATATTATTTGGAAACAGCTATTGTTAATTCTACACAGAAGCAAGATATGATTTAATATAGAAGGGTGTAAAAGTATTTACGAGTATAGGTTATGAGTATAATTCCAAGTCCCAGCCTTACATGGCGATCCTGCCAGCTCCAGTGCGTTAAGTTAAGTCAGGTTTTAAGTGAAAAGAAGAAAAATGGGCAAGACAAATTCGAAACACAGTGAAGTGACAGATACTGGAGTTTTAAATTCAAACTTCATTGTAGAAGAGAGCAAAGTCCAAGTGCCATTAGATATAAAAATTTTGGCATATGTTGCTGATGGTGCCATTATAACAATTCTGGGGTTAAAATTGAGAAAAGCACTAAGTATGAAAAGAAACCTTACCCGTAGAATGATGCTGAGAAGCCAAGCTGCAGACGTTTAAGAAGCCCAAAAGCCAGTCCGAATCAGCAGAGTTCATCAATTTAATCCAGGAGCCCCAGAGGTTAAACATCGCAGAATCACAAAATAGGAGATAAGTAGGCCAGCAGACGAAGGACAACGACCCAAGAAATGCTGCTGGGCAGCCTGGTATACATATATGTTATGTACATTTTATATTTGCTGATTGTGAAATATACAATCTATTTGTGTCCAGTTATTAATTAGAACATTATTTGGGCTGACAAAGTGAAAATATTAAATTATTTATAAAATTTTAAATTTAAATATTATAATATAGTAATATAATGTATAATTATATTAAAATATTAAATTATTTATAAGTTCTAAATTAGATTAATGCATAATATTAAAGTATAATAATTATGTAAATTAAAAATATATAATGATAATATATAATTATTAATAAAAGTTAAATTAAATGGCGTACTAGTTATAAAATCTGAGTAGGTCAAATAGCTAAATTTTACCTTATGTATATAGTTTTGTTATTAAATAATTTTATATAACTTAATAAAATAAATGAACATAAATTGGGAGACTATATTAGGTAAATTAAGTAAAATTAAAGAATTAGTAGTTAAAGAGTCGAAACGAGTTCTTAAAACTCAAGTGCCTAAAACAATATCAATACAAGACGAAGTAAGGGATAAGTTACTCGACTATCATAATCAGTATACAAAAACTGGGACTTTGAATTGGTATTTTCTTGATGAATCACAGCGACACGTAATACGAACTTTGCACATATATATAAGGGATATAATAATTCGCTCATATCAAGTTTTAAATGTTACAATTAAAGTACCAACGTCCTGCATCGAAATAATCGATCCCAATATAAAGGAGTCTGGTATTAGTAGGTACTGACGATAGCGATTCGGAGGAAGAAAAAGCAGTACTTACTATCAAGATGGATGGCAATGACAAAAATAGAATTTTTTAACTTCGCTGGAAAAGTTTTGCCAACCGACTTCGATGGTGCGCCGGATAAATTGCAGTTCTTTATAGATGCCTTGGAAATGTTGCAAGAAAACTCGCAAGGACATGAAGCTAATGCGGTACCTATCGTATATCAAGACGCGACTCACAGGAAAAGCTAGTGATTTAATATCAGACGGCCAGACAATTGCGACAATTATTGTAAAATTAAAAGGCGATATCAAACCAGAAAGTTCGGAACTAGTAAGTGCTAAACTATTAGCTTTGAAACAATCTCAAAAGGATATAGCAAAATATGCATCTGAAGTAGATGCCCTTGCCACAAGGGTTCGAAGAGCTTAAATAAGCGAAGGTGTTCGTGTAGCCGTAGCTGATGCCAAAGCGGCTAAAACTACAGTAAAAGCCATAACAAAGAACACCGCGTCTGAAAAAGCAAAAATAATTATGGAGGCAGGAAACTTCCAAACCAGTTAGGATGTTATTACCAAGTTTATTAACATTTCCAATAATGCAACTAATGCTGAAAATGGTGCAACAGTTTTATATGCAAATAGAGCTATGTCAAATGCGTACAGAGGATACCAGCATCATGGTTACTATCGTGGAAATGGACAGCAGTCCAGTGGAAATAGTTATAGGGGTAGACAAGTTGATAGAGCACGAGAAGAATATCGCAGAAGATATAATCAGAGAGGAAGAGGCAACCGTTATATTAGAGCGTACGGTGCTAAACAGGAGCAGGGAAAGATCCCCAATTGGGTCCATTGGGGAAATTTTAAAAGTGTACAATTTGGACCTATCACTTTCAAATTTTATTGTTGTACAAACCGACATCATAAAAAACGAAACAGTGATTCTTTTAGTGGTGCTGACATTCCTTTGTTCAAAAGGACAAAAATAAATCCGAAGCAAATCCTCAACAGATCCGAAGCTAGTAAAATTAAAGACGTTACGAATGGTTGTACCAACTCGTTAGGAACAACTGAAACGTACATTCATGTAAATAATTATAAAATACAACACAATTTTCACGTCATTCCTGAAGATTTCCCCATCCCAACCGATGGAATTTTAGGTAGAGATTTTATTTCTACATACCAATGTCGGTTAGATTACTCTGATTGGAGTATGACCCTAAGATCAAAAGGGGAAGAAACAACATTACCAATCTATAATAGTCCCGAAGAAGACATGTTAATCATCCCACCTCGTTGCGAAGTAATCCGCAAAATAACCAATTTTAAAAGTACTAAAGAAGATGCCGTAATTTTGAATGAAGAAATAGCAAAAGGAGTTTTTATAGTCGGAAGCATCGTATCCCATAAAGAACCATTTGTTAAGATACTAAATAGAACATTTGAAAGTGTTACGATAAGAAACAGCAACATTAAGAAGTCAAAATTAAGTGAATTTAACATATATACAACAGAAAAAAACAATTCGAATAGAGAAAAATGTCTTTTACAAGAACTTAATAAAAATTATTCCTCCGATGAGATGATGTCGTAAGATTATGTACAGAATTTTCAGATGTATTCGGATTAAAGATCGATAAGCTTACTACAAATAATTTCTACAAGCAAAATTAGACAAATAAATTAGAGACCAGTCTATATCAAGAACTACCGCATTCCAGATGCGCAAAGTGCCGAAATTAATAAGTAAGTTAGTAAAATCTTAGGAGATGGAATCATCGAAACATCAATGGCAGAATAAAACAGCCCTATCCTTTTGGTTTCTACAAATGAAGAGAATTGTCGATTAGTAATCGATTACAGGCAATTAAATAAAAACTAAATAGCAGATAAATTTCCTTTGCCTAGAATAGATGATATCCTAGATCAGCTGGGAAGAGCTAAATTGTTTTCAGTACTAGACTTAAAGGCGGGTTTTCACCAAATAGCACTAGAAGAATCTTCAAGAGACGTAACTACTTTCAGCACATCATCAGGATCTTATAGATTTACCCGATTATTGATGCATATTATCAAGAAGTGCGATTTAGATTGCAAACAAGCTGGAGCTTTTCTCGAAAAAGTTTAAATCAATCGCAAATATGATTATGATAGGGGGAGTAAAAAACTTATCCTTAAACTAGGTGATACAGTTAAGTTAAAAATTGAAAATAGAAACAAATTTGATCCCTGGTATAAAAGACCATACTCTGTAATTAGCTGTAAGTGTGTAAACTGAGAAGTGAGTGACGAAAACGGTAAAATAGTGACTGTACATAAAAACTGAGTGCAACTATTAAATAAAACTGATACAATTGTGTCGGCAAAATTGTAAACTTATTGTCTTATTAACCAATATCTTTAATTTTATTGTCTAGATATAAGATAAGCATAAAAAGTGCAATATTACCTTGTATTGTATTTTCAAAAAAAAGGGGAAGGAAATATTGGACTTATAATGTATTAAGATTTTATTTAGGGCTAATAGGTTAAAATAAAATTGTTAAATTAAGTAGGTATTATTAATTAGGATTAACCCTCCAATGACATCGACTTTTTGAATGTCCTTTATTTATGCGCAGAATGAAGAACATTCTCTTGAAAAGGGAGATGTAGTGCAACGTCATTAGTGAATACTATTTAATTATTGTTAGGTGGCAATTGCTGAGTTGTCAATATGTATTATTTAGAAACAGCTATTGATAATTGTACACAAAAGCAAGATATGACTTAATATAGAAGGTTGTAAAAGTATTTACGAGTATAATTCCAAGTGCCCTAAGTCCCAGCCTTATAGCCCCACCCAGTTTATAGAAGTAGCGGGAGAGCTAACCGTCTAGATATTCACTAATTGGTAAGGGATAATAACCAAGGCGAAGCGAGAGTTGGTCTTGCCAAAATCAGTAAAATTACGTAATTGGGTCATCGTGACCGGTCTAAGGTGCTTACGTAATTAGGAACAGTCACGTGCATTGGATCAGTACCACTATTAGGTTTATATTCCCTTGCAGCCGTCGCATGGTGTACCACCCTTAGGTTTAATTTAACCTTGGTTAAGATCCTAGAGTAGGCGGAGTTATGACTCTGACCGCAAGCGATTTTTGAATGTCGTTGCTACTGAGCTATTGCTGATAAAATGGCGTCTTTACTCAAAATTTGACTACTACAGATATAAAGACATACCTACTAACAGTAAATATACTTGGGAAGACAAAAATAAATAGAAAGAAAGTATACAGTGATAACGATGTGACCATGGCCATAGTTTTTAGACTGTATCAATGCAAAGTACTACTCATAGCAGCGAGAACAATTTACATAACCTAATTAAAATTAAATATATCTAAATAAACTTGGTATAACCCACATAGTAATACACATATACATAAGATATCCAATGTATGTAATTCTATGAATATGAAAATTTTGATGTATATACGCGAATATTTAATGAATATACAATGTATATACATATTTTATACAAGTGTCCTCTATTTGTAAATCTATATTACATCCATAATGTAAACTGCTCACAAATTGAAGTGGAATTTTTTAAAATAGGGTTGTGTTAAAATCGCTGTAAAATTTTCAAAAAGCATCCGATTTTGAAACAGCTTTTACTTATTTAAAGAAAAGTGTTCCCATTTTCAAAAACTGATAAAATCATTTAAGTCATAACATATATATGTCTAATATAGGGTGATAAAAAAAGTTCTACAATTTTGTTCTTTTTAACTCTAGTGCAGGAGTTTTTTTAATCACCCTGTACACTTACACTAAGTTGCATTTTACAACCTGTGGTATGTGTTACCAATATTTTTTTAGTTTTTTCCTTTTAATGACGTACGTACAAAAATATGATTTTTTTTATTAATGGCGTAATTTTTCATTTGCGTTTTTCTAATTTTTACCTAGGGGGCTTTAAAAACAGGCAGATATCAAGTACGTAGGTATACAAACTAATCCTTGTCAAGTTGACAGTTGCTTATAAACAATGCAATGCAATGCAATAAAAAAGCATAATGCCGTTACAAAAATTAACTCCAGAGCAGTTTGATATTGTGGCAAATCTTTTACAAAATGGTACGAGGCAGAAAGAAATTGCAAATTTGCTCAATGTGTCACCGAGTGTTATTAATAGGGCAAGTCAACGGCTCCTGGCAACAGGTAGTGCCCGAATTACACATGGTGGAGGTCGCTCAAGAATAACTTCAGCAGCGGAAGATCGTCTTCTTGTTAGACGGGCAAGAGCCAATCCTACATTTTGCGCAATAAAGCTTCGACATGCTACAGGACTTGAAGTTTCGACACAAACGATCCGAAACAGACTTCACGATAGGCAACTACGTGCCCGAAGACGTTTCAAATGCCCCATGTTGAACGTGGCTCATCGTGTAGCCCGAAGGACATGGGCTCGCGAGCATTCCGGATGGACAATTGAACAGTGGAGACGCTGTCTTTTTACAGATGAAAGCAGGATCGGTATGTATAAGTCAGATGGACGTATTCTCGTCTGGAGGGAGCCTGGAGCTCGTTGTCAAGAAAGAAACATGGCTCCGCAGGAACCTTTCAATGCACAGCAAACGGAAAATTATAGAGGTGTATAGGATGACGCCACGTTTGAATATCGTTTTCTAAATCTCCCCAAGGTATAAAGTTGTATTCGTCAGTCGAGCGTTTCAATACTCTCCACAGTATAGAGGTCGTAATTTCACTTTTGAACTAGTATTAATATAAAAATTATTTTATGCTTAAAAAAACTATACGACATGATTGTGATTTTTTTCATTTTATTAATTAATTAAGCTGTGTTGAATATTTTTCCTAAAGGAATAATTGCCAATGGGCCATTAATTCATTTGTTCGTAGATGCTACAATAACCTGCACTGGTGTGTACTTTTTCATCAACCAGATTTAAATATTACAAAACTAACATATACCAGTGGAGATGGTGCAGGGTCTACCAACAGACCTAATTACTAAATTATTAAAGTTTAATAGCATATCGATCATTTTTTCAACATAACCTCTGAAATTTTTAATACAAATATAGGTACTTTATATAATAAATAAATATACTTAATTTCATATCATCTGTACTTTACATACCTAAGTTGTTACGGTAACTAAAAATCAGACAAAGGAACCAAAGAAAGGAACTATTTTCAACAAAATCATATGCAGAAAGGAGAAAATTCAAACTACTTGCATCCATCAAAAGATCAAAACTTCTTGCAATATTACACCCTCTTTTTATACTCTCAGAAATATTGACTAGAACAGTATTATAGAGACTCCAGTTTCTATAACTTGGTAGAGTAAAGAGAAGTCGAAACCGTTGCGATATTGCATTGCGCTGTTTTTGTATAATTCTCGGGGACATTAACGAAAATCATTGCTAGTAAAATTCGAAAAGCTTGAGTTTCTATGTCTCTGAGGAGAATAGGAATCCGAAGTTGCTGCACCATTGGACTGAACCCTTTTTTAATAATTTCTAGAGACATAAATGACTGCACCATTCGACAGGGTCGAGTTTCTATTCCTCTGTTGAATATAGAAAATCAAAATAATGTATCTTGTAAGACACCATTGAGTTTGACTTTAAATATAGTCGTGCATAGGTATAGAGGCGAAAAATATAAAAACAAAGCACGATTCAATACAGTTATGATAAAACTTTAAGATTTGATATTCAAACGCGGAGTCATCCTATACACTTCTATAATTTTCCGTTTGCTGTGTGGCGGATCAGTGATGGTCTGGGGTGGTATTTCGCATGACAGTCGCACTGACATTGTAGTGTTCATCAACTCTACGATGAACGGTGAACGGTATAGAGATCGGATTATCCAGCCTATCGTCGCACCATTCATTGAACAACATGGCAGAAATTATGTTTTTGTGCTCGTCCCCATAGGGCTAGGATTGTGAATCAAGCGATATTGGATAACAACATCATACGAATGGCCTGGCCTGCAAGATCGCCTGATTGCAATCCAATAGAGCATGTTTGGTTTCATTTAAAAAAAAGATTACTCGATCGTAATGAGGATTTTTTAAATTTGGAGCAGCTTGCAAATGCTGTTGTAGAAGAATGGCAAGATATACCACAACTTTTAATTAATAACCTAATAGATAGTATGCCTAGACGAGTTGCAGCAGTGATGAGAGCTCGAGGAGGGCCTACTAGGTACTAAACTGCCGACTTTATATCAAAAGTATAACTTACAATAAATATAAACTTATGTTGTTAAAATTTGTATTCATTAAAAAATGACTTTTTATAAAAAAATCACATTTCTGTAAGTATGCTACAGAGAGCAATAAACTAAAAAAATATTGGTAACACAAACTACAGGTTGTAAGATGCAACTTAGTGTAAGTGTACAGGGTGATTATGCTTTTTTATTGCATTGCATTGCATTGTTTATAAGCAACTGTCAACTTGACAAGGATTAGTTTGTATACCTACGTACTTGATATCTGCCTGTTTTTAAAGCCCCCTAGGTAAAAATTAGAAAAACGCAAATGAAAAATTACGCCATTAATAAAAAAAATCATATTTTTGTACGTACGTCATTAAAAGGAAAAAACTAAAAAAATATTGGTAACACATACCACAGGTTGTAAAATGCAACTTAGTGTAAGTGTACAGGGTGATTAAAAAAACTCCTGCACTAGAGTTAAAAAGAACAAAATTGTAGGACTTTTTTTATCACCCTATATTAGACATATATATGTTATGACTTAAATGATTTTATCAGTTTATGAAAATAGGAACACTTTTCTTTAAATAAGTAAAAGCTGTTTCAAAATCGGATACTTTTTAAAAGTTTTACAGCGATTTTAACACAACCCTATTTTAAAAAATTCCACTTCAATTTGTGAGCAGTTTATATTCCTGGATTTCCATAACATATATGGCATTTTTAATCTTTATAAAATTTTGGATAAAAATACTTTAACTTATATCTCAGTTTACGTGTTCAAGGATTTTTTGAGAAAAAAATCCTTAAAGCCCTTTTATTTAATAATTAAAAACGCTAAAACAAGTTTTTATGGGGATTTTTTTTATAAGTAATTAAAAAACATAGTGTGAAAGACCGTATTTTTGTTAGTATACCGTGAAAATATTTTACAAATCAAACGAACAGTATCAAAAATACAGCCGTCGTCAAAAATGACCACTTTTCAGCAAAATAATCAGAAAGGGGTCATTTTTACCGACTTTGAAGCGCTGTATCTTTGTTATTGTTCGTTTGATTTGTACAAAATTTTCAGAGTATACTAACAAAAATATGTTCTTTAACAGCATATTTTTTATTTACTTCAAAAATGACCACTTTTCAGCAAAATAATCAGAAAGGGGTCATTTTTACCGACTTTGAAGCGCTGTATCTTTTTTACTGTTCGTTTGGTTTGTACAAAATTTTCAGGATATACTAACAAAAATATGTTCTTTAACAGCATATTTTTTATTTACTTAAATCCCTTAAAGTTATTTTTCAAACGTTTTTTTATTATTAAATAAAAGGGCTTTAAAAATATTTTCTCGAAAAACCCTCGAATACGTAAACTGAGATGTAAGTTTAAGTATTTTTATACAAAATTTCATAAAGATTGGTAAAGGCGTTAGAATTTTTTTACTTATTATGCGTTAATTTTGACGCAGAGTGTAGATATATATATATATTAGGGTGGTCCTTATTTTGGCTTTTTTCGAATTTTTTTTCACGATAGTCCTAAATTCGTTCTAAATGTATAAAAAAAAATTCCTGCCGAGTTACAGCTCTTAATTTTAATATTAACCTGGCCCCCCCGGCAGCCAAAGTTTTAAATGGGAATAACATGCAAAAAGTAGGTTTTGCTCTTTGTAATTTTTTATCTTGTTTACATATTAATTAACAATAATTTATATTATTATTTATATATAAATATATATTCTTATAGAAAATTTACCGCTCTACAAAAAAGGTCTCTTATGATTTTTTGCTAAACCTACTAGTTCGAAAGATATTCCAGGTCAAAGTTCAATTTATAATCAATTTCACAGTTTTGCTCATTTTTACTAGGAAATAGCGCTTTAAAATGAAAAACATAGTATATTTTATTAACTGTATATTATTTGCTTTAATAAAACATCAAAATTTTCTAGAAATCATCAATTATTCAATGCTAGTATGATTTTAACATAGGTTTATTCATGAAATTTGACATAAGTTTGAAATAGTTTTCAAATTTCAGAGTATCATAAGCTATTTTAGAGACGACAGCCCTTTAAAAAAAATTGACATAAAGAATTGGCACAAATATTATAGAAAATATTAGTATAAATATATTTTTTTATTTTAAATCAAAATTGATTTATACCATCTTCAAAATAATTATTACATTACATATTTGTTTTTTTCAACGAGTCAGGAAATCGTTCTCTATGATCTTTAACTAGTTGTAATACATATTGCAATTGTTTTTTATCTTTAGTATAATATCTAGAAAAATCTTGCACTAATTTAACTCCTCTTTCAGCACAATCATTTACAACTGACAGTGTCTTCACAAACTTCGAAGCGATAATATAGCTCTCATCTTCAGCCCATTTTGATGGATGAATTTGTAGAAATTCTGTTCTTAACTCAAACCTTTCAAAAAATTTAATCGATTCTGCAGTCACAAAAAAATCAATATCGTTGTATAACAAATCATTTATATTTTTATTCTGATAGCGTTTTACGCTACATTTTTCGCCAGTATAATCTTCTTCGGAAATAGTATCAACTGAACTTTGTTGTTCCTGTTTTGTCCTACTAACAATTTTTAATTTTGTTTCTATTGAAATATCCTGATAAAAAATTGCGATAACGGACAATTCTGGTGATAAGTACCATAAATGATTCATGAACTTATTTATTGCTACAGTAGCAAGATGACTGTTAATTACTTTAAAGTTGTTTAGCTCTTTCATAAACTGCAGATCATGGTATGGTGCTTTTATCCCATTAGTTGATAAAAACCAAGCTTTCATATAAACAGTTGTTATAAAAAAACATATTTCTCGCAATTTACCTTCTTCTCCTTTTTTCAATGACAATTGTTCACGGAACAAGTAAATTTTTAATACATAAATAGCTTTCGCCATCCAACGTGCATGATGACAAGCACCTGGTTTGCGAAAACAAAAATTTTTTGGGATTATACCTATAAAAACTAAAGTAAGCTCCAAAAATTCTTTGTAATCATTACGAGGAAGCTTCATTGTAAGAAATTCAGTGGCAAAAGTTCTGATACTATTTATTTTATCATCTGTTAATATAATTTTTAATTTCGGATCATTAACTCCAGTTTTGTAATTTAGTTGATCTAAGGTATTCCACTTTTTTTGGAAGCTTACAAAAAGTGGAACATTAGGCCCACTAGTGTTTGGAAAAACGGCTTCGAAAACATATCTCAGTACTATCTCAAAAATATGATGCCTACACGGAAGATATAACAAATCTTTGTCCAAAAATCTTTCCAACAATGCAGCAGCGCCATTACGGATAGCCAAGTTTGAAGGAGTAGTATCACAGCATATCGCCTTAACGCATGTATCAAATCCCCAGTCCAGTAATGTCTCATAAACGCGATTGGCTTGTGCTAGCCCAGTCCCATCATCAGTCACCGGAACACCTAACAAAATTTCTTTATCTTCAGAAGTAATTATTACAGGTAACCTATGAACAGTTTGTGTATTCAATAGATTAGGTAATAATTTTCCATCCCAATGAACTACAATAGATGATAATTTCAAATCTTGGAAGTGTTTTTTTATTTCGTTAGATTTTGATTCTCGTAAAGATTGTCGATATCGCCGAATTGATGATCGGTTGATAATTAAAGAGTCAATGCTTACATTTAATAAGTTAATATCAATCAGAGACTGACAAATAGCTATTGATAGAAATACAGCATCTCTGTCACTTATTTTGCAACGATCAAAAGTAGCTACAACTCGTTCACTAAAAATGTTATAACTTCCTCGTGATTTATTTGATTGTGATGGTCCTGCATTATACGGTATAAAGATTTCTCCACTAGATGTAGATAATGAACTTCCTTGACTCAACATAAGCTCAACATTTTCATCTAGAACAAGTAAAATAATACGATTATAAAAATATATGTGTCAATGAAAAATAACTAATTAATAAATACTTAGATTGTTAGAACGTACCAAATGCTTTTTTTTCTTGTTCACTTTTTTTTCTTTTTTGATAACGTGTTTCTTTGTTGGGTTCATTAACATCATCAACTTCAGTGTCATATTTTGTTTTGATATTTGCGATGAAACCGACTCGGTTATCTAACCTTTGATTAGTTAAAAATTCTTTGCAATTATCATCAATGAGATCAAGAACATTCACCGGCGCGATGTCAAATAATTTTTTTAATGAGCAGGCAAAATCATTTTGTTTTTGGATAGCAACTTCACTCCGATTTTTATGCTTAACAAGTATGCGCCATTCATCGTATAATTTTTTTAATTTATCTCGACACCTTTGCACATCTTGAACTAGTATTTGAGCTTTGTTCCAAAATAAAATCACTTCATCAATCACGGCAGCAATACTATTCTGTATAGTAGAATTTAAAATCCGGAGATGAAAAAATAAAACTCGAAGGGCTTGTAGTTTTGATGGTAATTTATTACCCACTATTTGGACGTCAACATCACCAATTAAAAAAATTTTCTGACGTAAACGTGATAACTCCATATTATTTTTTTGACTAAATACAAGCTATTAAATGTGTATTAATTAATTAACAAATAAACAATAGTCGCGGATAAACGGCTTTGCACAGTTATTGTGACCAATACTCATTAACAAACACGTAGAAACTAATAACATGTATATTTTGTTTCTTTTTACTATTATTTAAAACGTTTTTAACAATTTATTACTAGAAACACTTGTAAATTAAAAGTTATGTCACATTTGAACTGTCAAAACTATTGATGACATGTGTCATGGCCACCTATTATAATAAACAACAATTGTTGTCTATTATTTAAATTCTAAAATGTTGGACATGTTTGATTGAATAATTGATGATGAAAATTTTGATGTTTCATTAAAGCAAATAATATACAGTTTATAAATTATATCATGTTTTTAATTTTTAAAGCGCTATTTCCTAGTGAAAATGTGCAAAACTGTGAAATTAATTATAAATTGAACTTTGACCTGGAATATCTTTCTAACTAGTACGTTTAGAGAAAAATCATAAGAGACCTTTTTTGTAGAGCGGTAAATTTTCTATAAGTCATTTTTTTTAAAGTAATGTCGTCTCTAAAATAGCTTATGATACTCTGAAATTTGAAAACTATTTCAAACTTATGTCAAATTTCATGAATAAACCTATGTTAAAATCATACTACCATTGAATAATTGATGATTTCTAGAAAATTTTGATGTATTATTAAAGCAAATAATATACAGTTTATAAAATATACTATGTTTTTCATTTAAAAGCGCTATTTCCTAGTGAAAATGAGCAAAACTGTGAAATTAATTATAAATTGAACTTTGACCTGGAATATCTTTCGAACTAGTAGGTTTAGCGAAAAATCATAAGAAACCTTTTTTGTAGAGCGGTAAATTTTCTATAAGAATATATATTTTAAATTATTGTTAATTAATATGTAAACAGGATAAAAAATTACAAAGAGCAAAACCTACTTTTTACATGTTATTTCCATTTAAAACTTTTGCTGCCGGGGGGGCCAGGTTAATATTAAAATTAAGAGCTGTAACTTGGCATACCGCGCGCCTAACGTTGGCTAACGGAGGGTTCAGATGCAAGTCGGCACGGGTTCCCGTTTATAGAATGAGCTGAAATTTTTACTGGGAGTATATAAACACGTAATAAATATAATTAGAGGGTATGCGTAAAAAAAATAAAAATAAGGGACACCCTAATATATATAAATATATATATATATATATATATATATATATATATATGTAAGAACAATATGTAAATATTTTTACAAACAACAATAGAATTGTTTAGCTCAACCTCCCGACCTCCCACCGAGCTAATTACATTAACCATATATCGATAAGCACTCTATCTATAAACCATATATCTCAACGCAAGCTTTTATACTGCCCTCGTTTTTACAGTTTATTCCGTACTAGTCGACTTTTTGATGAATCAGGGATATTAACTAAACATAACATCTCAGCTATATCCATTACCAATAAATAACGTACCATGGCCGTACGTGAACCAATTTATTTATCTAACACGGCCATTCTGCAATTAGCATGCCCTCATGCTAGGGTGATATAACTTACCCACCTTATATTTTCTTATTATCATAATTACTCATTGTAACTTTAGCAATATACTAAGCATGAGACAGAGACTCCTTACCCAACCTAGTGGGACTTCAAATTCCTTACATTACTTACTTTGAACACTATAGCATTGGAAGGTAAAAATTGCAATCCTAAAATTAAATTATTATTAATAATAAGCACTTTTACATAAAGTAACTTTCAAAGCAAAAACTTAGATGACACTCCTTTCTATACAACTTATGGGGTACTCTTACACAAGTACTATTTACTACAATTTTAACATATTGGGACTCCCAACTAATTAATTATGTGAGACTCTCACATAATTACTGATTTAAGACTCTTAAATCACAAATGACTACCGGGACTTCCGGAACAAACATCATTTAGGGACTGTCTAATTATTTTACATGGAGACTCTCCATTGCACGCTGTTGATACTCCCAACCAATCAGAAATTTATTTTATGGGACTCCCATGTATAATTGATTTAAACTCTTAAATGGCTACCGGGACTCCCGGGCCAGGAAACATCACATTAGGGACTCCCTAATGTATTTCACATGGAGACTCTCCATTTTTATTAGCTGTAGCGTGGGACTCCCACTTAAATCATACTGATTTGGACTCCAAATCACAATTAAATGAAGCATTTCTTTTGAAAATTTTATTATTTTATAATTAAATCATTCTAAATCCAATACATTCTTAATTAACAACGTTATATGAGACTCTCAATTTATAAAGTAACATAAACAAACATGGAACATGATAATAATAAAAAAAACTGGTCTTAAAATTTGTTTAACACAGCTGTCGGCCAAATTCGCATTTGCTCGCTGGCAGCAACAGTTTCCCGCTTTCCACCTTTCCCTAGGCAATAACGGTCATTAGGCAACACCTCCTTGACAGTGAATGGCCCCTTATATCTCGGGCCCAATTTTCCCCTTCCAGGAGCTTGAGTATCTTCAACCAGTACACGATCACCAACATTAAAAGCGTTTGCTGGCTTCCGATTTTGATTCAGCCGATCTATAGTGTTTTGACTTTTTTTGATTAAACGCTGTTTTACAGCTTCAGTTGCGGTTTCCATATTGATACTTGGCAGACTAACATTTCTTAACAACGGCTGTGTAGCTGGCAATTCTAAATTTGTACCCCACATTAGAGCTGCCGGAGTCATACCAGTGGATGTATTGATAGTATAATTAATATTTTCTTCTATTTGTGGCAGAATACTGGTCCATATTTTTTCTTTTTCCGCAGTTAATGTGGATCTCATCAGGTTAAACAAGGTTCTCATAAGTCGCTCTACGACACCATTTCCACGAGGAACTCCTGTGGCTACCAAATGTAATTTTATTCCAAAGGCTTCTAAAAATTGGGCAAAATCTTTTGATGAAAAAGCAGTTCCTCGATCAGCAATAATCTTTTTAGGCACACCAACTTGCTCAAAAACCTTATCAAGTGCAACAATAACATCATGTGTAGTCTTTTTGTTAACTGGAATTAATTTGCAAAATTTTGTAAATGCATCTATTATGACAAGTATTTGCGTGCAGCCATTCGACTTAACCAGCGGTCCCGCATGATCAATATGCCATATGTCCAACGGTTGATCTGGCTTTTCACCTAACTGAAATAGACCTCGCCGATAACCAGTGTGCAAATTTCCTATTGCACAAGCACGACAATTCTGCCGTGCTTAATGAAAACGCCGTAACCAACAATTTTGCGATTTTTGTTTTACAGCATTTTCTACTAGAACAATTCATCCTGCGTCTAACCCCGGTACTCAAAAAACCGTATCTATATATATACGGTTTTTTGAGTACCGGGGATAGACGCAGGATGAATTGTTCTAGTAGAAAATGCCGTAAAACAAAAATCGCAAAATTGTTGGTTACGGCGTTTTCATTAAGCACGGCAGAATTATCAACATATTTTCGGATGCACTTTTGCAACCTCGGCCAATAGAGTGATTCTTGTAGTTTTGCAATCATTTTACCAGCGCCAATGTGTGTTGAATCGTCATGATATGCGTTTAAAATTCGAAGTCGTGCTTTTTCAGGTTCATAACAACGCAAAACCTTTGTTGGGCCTACAATTCTGTAAACTATTCTATCTTTAATGCGAAATTGATGCTGTTCAGGAATAGGCAATGTTCCTTGCATAGCCTTTCTACAAATTTCATCATCCTTTTGGTATTCTTCTATAGACAAAAGGGGTTTATTCAAGTCAGATTTGACAACCCGGCGTACAACTGGATTACGGCTCAGATAGTCGACATGTTGCATTTTATGTCCTGGACGATATTCGATGTTAAAGTCAAATTCTTGTAATTTAATCCACCAACGGGCCACTCGCGGGTGCATTTCCTTTTTTAATGCTGTAGCTCGAACTGCATTACAATCAGTAAAAATTGTAAAATGATGACCGAATAAATAAACTCGAAAATATTGAGTAGCTTCCACGATGGCTAGTGTCTCAAGGTCAAACGAATGGTATTTCGACTCACACTCAGTTGTTCTGCGACTAAAATAGGCCACAGGGTGCATTTTGCCCTCATGTTTCTGTAACAGCATTCCTCCAATTCCCAATGCAGAAGCATCAGTGTGAAGTTCTATATCGAGGTCGGGATTATAAATTTTTAATATGGGTTGTGCTGTTAGCAATTCAATGATTTCTTGTCGAATTTGTTCGTGTGACTCTTCCCATTTAAAAGTTGTATTATTTTTTCGTAAAAGTGATGTAATAGATGCTGTTCTTACCCCAAAG